AGAGCCGGGGAGAGAACCCAGGAGTCCTGGCTCCCAGCCTCCCCCCACCCCAGCTCTAGCCCACTAGATGAGGCTGGGACCCAGGTGTCCGGGCTGCCCCCACTCACCACCAGCAGGTCGTTGAAGAGGAAGACCTCTCTCTGGTGCAGGCCGAGCCGCTGGGGCCGGTTGGGGTCGGGCACCTCATAGAGCTGGCAGCAGCAGACCAGGCGACGGTGGGGAAGGGACAGCACCTGGCATGGGGGGGGGGAGGGGTCAGTGGGACCAGAGGGGGTGGAGCCCCCAAAAGGCCTCTCCCTTCCTCCCAAGGCCCCGCCCCTCCCTCTTCTCCATCAAGCTCCTCCCCTACACATCCCCAGTGGCCCCTCCCACCCCTCAAACACCGCCTCCCTCTGTGAGGCCCCACCCAGCCAAGCCCCTCCCCATAGGCTCCACCTCCTTCTCTGAAAAGCCCCTCCCCTGACAGGCCATACCCCCCCAAAGAAGCCCCACCCTCAATGCCCTCTTTCCAGGGCTCCACCCCTTCCCTATGAGACCCCTCCCTCCCTGGAAGCCCCGCCCCATCCCCAGCAGGCTCCACCCCCACCCACCCCACTCACCGGCTTCTTCCCCACGATCATGCGCTCGACGGTCTGGACCTGGGAGACGTGGTCGTCGTTCGTTCGTAGCTCACGGCTCTGGATGCGCTGGTAGATCCCCACCAGGAGGTCACGGGGGATGTCCTGCCCGTTATCCACCCCTGGGGGCAGACAGACCCGGCGATGGGTGGGGCGGGGGGCAAACACCGTCCCAGTCCCCCGCTCAACCCAGAACCCCAGCAAGTCTAGAACAGAGGCTGCAGTCTCGGGTGCCGAACACTGGCGTTCTAGATCCCAGCCTGTTCTAGAGCGGAGGGTCCCGGCCCTGGGGCTCTGGCTCCCGCTGCGGATCTCAGCCATTCTAGATCCCTGCATGTTCTAGAGCAGATATCCAGGCCCGGTGGCTCTAGCCCCCCTTGTGGATCACAGCTGTTCTAGATCCCAGTCTGTTGTAGAGCTCATTCTAGAGCAGATGATTCTCCCCATCTGTTCTAGATCCCATCTCTAGATCCCTGGCAAAGATCTCATCTGGCACAGGCCCCAGCCACTCAAAGCCCTGGGCTCCCGTGGTCTGGATGCCGATGGGGTTTAGGAGCAGGTTCTAGAGCAGCTCAGCTCACAGTTCCCCCATCAACCAGCTGTTCTGGATCCCGTTTCTTTCTAGACCAGGGATCTAGCTGCTTTCCTCCAGAGTACCCCTGCCCCCAGGCTATATCCTGGTACTGACGTGGGGTTCCACGGGTTCCTGAGCACCCTTCCCCCCCCCGCTTACCTCTGAGGTTCTTGATGAAGTCATCGAGCTTCATCTTCCTCTCGGGCTTGACGCTGGGGCTGTACATGTCGGTGTTGAGGAGGATGATGGCGAAGGCCAGGATGAAGATGGTGTCCGGGTTCCGGAACTGGCGCACGAGCGGGGCGTTGCAGACACAGTAGCGCTGGCTGCACCGGGAAGCAGATGGTGAAAGATCCTCCCTCCACTTCCTCCACTGCAGCGCAGCCTAGAACCGCCTTCTAGACCACTCTAGAACATCACCCACGCGACCTGGGTTCTTGGACACCAAGGGGTGCCACTGGACAGGCTGCATTCCAGAGCGATGCCTGTGTTCTAGATCACCACCAACACCAGGTGCCTTTTAGATTGCCCTCCATAGCATGCTCCAGAACAACGCACACCCTGTTGATGCAGAGTTTGCAGAACCCCGGCATTCTAGATCCCAGCCTGTTCTAGAGCAGAGGATCCGGGCCCTGGCTCCCGCGGCATATCACAGCCGGTCCAGATCCCTGTCTGTTCTAGAGCAGATATTGCATCAAACGGCCAATGATCTAGGGCAGACAGACTATGAAAAGAACGAATCGTGCTTCCTCGCCGGTTTCATCGCCCCGTTCAACAAGACCAGAATGCCACTTTCCACCAATTACCAACAGTTTTGGCTATTTCTCTGCATTCTGAAATATACCGATTTCGATCACGACGCAGAACGCAAAGCGCACAGAGCTCACGTTATAGGATGGTTTTTTGATCGCAAATATTTGCACTGTAAAAAAAGATAAAGAAGAGAAAGTCGGAGCCAGACGGGGCATACGAATGTTTAGCGTATCTGGCAGGGAAACACAGGCTACAACCGTGCCAGGCGAACGAACGCCTGTTCTCCCTTTCAAGTGACACTGCAGAGAAGTAGTGACGGCATTATCTCCCATGAGTGATTCGAGTTCTTTTGTTTCTCTTTTTCAGCGGGCAAATATTTGCAATCAAAAAGAACAACCCTAAAAAGTGAGCCCAGTGTGCTTTGCGTTCTGTGTTGTAAGTGAAATCAACGGATTTGAAAAGGTAGAAAAACATCCAGGCGAAAATAACAACATGAAGTCAGTTCTGTGCACGTGTCTTCTGTGTTTATTTGACATCAATGGATTTGAAAATATAGAAAAATACCCAAAACCTATTTATAATCAACGGAAATCAGCATTTGGGTCTTGTCAGCGCAGCCGGCCTACGAGGGCACCGGGGCGCTCTGGAGTGTCATCGGCACAGACCCTGTTCTAGAAGGACAGGTGCAGCCTGGAATAATATCTATCTAGAATGTGGATCTAGAACGTGGAACATCTATCTAGAACATGGAATGTGGCCACGTCCTAGGCCCCTACCAATTCTGGCAGCCTTCTACAGGGCATCCCAGAAGACCACCAAGATATTCTAGAGGGTCACGTGGGTTCCAGGCCAATCCTGCTCCAGAACAGCTCAGGCTTTCACCGAGCCCGTTAAAGGCGTCCGTGCTCCAGAACACCAGCTGCTTTGTAAGATGCCCGCCCCAGTCTAGAACGCCAGACTCCACAGCGATTGAGCCGACCACCCACTACCCCCCGTCCCCAGCATACCCGACGCATTGGGAAGGTTCTCGAACTGACCTGAAGGCTTCGATGAGACGCTCGACTTTCTGCGCTTCCCCCTGCACCCGGATGTGCGACTGGAACTTCCGCAGAGCATCGTCCAGGTCCATGTTGGAAAAATCCATCTCATCCACCACGCAGCTGGAAAGGGGAACGCAGGTCAGCGCTGGGTCCCCTCCAGAACCTGCTCAGAGATCCCCCCATGCTCCAGTAGTCTCGTGGGAGAACGTGCAGGATGACGCCCAAAGCCAGAGCTCCACCACCCCGGGAAGGTGGGTCGGGAACCCACCAGCTGCCCGCAATTGTTCCTCTCCAGACAGCACATGCGCCCTACTCTAGATCACGTGATCTAGATCAATTTGTGCTTGCTGTCTTTGCTCTGGGTACCTGCTTCCATGCCCCCCCTTGCTCCAGAACACCCCCCAATGGAGCCGTCCCCCTGCCCTGCAGCTCCTTACTCGAGAACGTCACGGTTGAACTGCTTCTGCCGGTTGCCAAGAAACTCGCCAATCATCTGCCGGCTCAGGCCCTTGCGCTCCAGGATGAAGTGAGCGACCCCGACTGGCGTGTCCGAGAGGAACCCTCTCTCGATGAGGTATTGGATCCCCTTCTCCGGCTTCCTGTGGGTGTGGAGAGAAAGGGTCTAGAGTCACCAGCCTCTAGAACGCCGCTGCCCCGGGGCAGACGGCCAGAGGAACTGGAGAGGAGATGCTAGCCAGAAGGGGAAGGGGGTGAGAAACCAGGAACATGGGTGTTCTAGAAAATTCCATTCCAGATCCCTTCCATTCTAGAACCAAACTAGACACAGGCCAGTTCCCCTCTGGAAGGAACCTGGCCATTCCAGATCACCACTGTTCATTCAAGACCACCGTTGTTCTAGGATATTTTCAACACACTATCATTGATCTAGAACAGTGCCCTCCCTGAGCCCCACCATTGCAGACAGGGCAGTGTCTCTGTTGTTCCAGAGCAGAGGTCGAGAACTTGCTCGTTCTAGAAAACATTGCCTGTTGAGGACTTAGCTAAGAGTGCTGGACACCTGGGTCTCAGGGGGGCTTTTGCAAGTCTTCAGCAAATGTTCGAGACTACGTTCTGGGACTGACACGTCTGGCCAACTGAGGGTTACCTAGAACACAATGTACATTTGCTATGCATACTCAAGCACTGCCTGTTGTGTTGCTACTGATTATGTACAAGTATTAAAGAATCTAAAAGGGATACTCCAGAACAAATTATAGTCAATCTAGACACCACCTAGCGTTTATATAGTGTTAATCCAGAATCCTGGCTGTGTGGCTGTGTGGTTCTGGATTCCTTGGAGCCCTCAATACTATTCCATAACTCAGCTGTTCTAGAGGAAAGCCAGTCACCCTACGGCAAAACAAAATTGTACGGCATTTGTTGTTCTAGAGCAGCACAATTCTAGAACCTAGCCATTCTAGAACGTGGCTGATTAAGCCAATCATTAACGCAGGAAGACCGACTGCTGTTCTAGAGCTTTGAGACCAATTCGGCTCTCTATCACAGACGAGATAAACTGATCCAGAACACAGGCAGCACCCAAATCCGCAGCGGGGAAATCTCACGCTAAAGCCCCCAGGAGGGTTGGTTCCAGGGCGTTCTAGAGGGCCGATCCAGAACGTGGCCGGAATTCTAGAACTCCAGAACAGGGGAGGGGGAAAGGGGCCCCACTGCAGGCTCTAAAGGCCGGAGCCCGCTCGAGCAGGCGCTGGAGCCGCCCCGGAGGCGCGGCTGAATCATGGCTTCAGCTGGCTAATTGGATCCCTACGGCCGCCGCCCAGCCCGGGCAGACATGGCCCAGCCTGGGAAGCAGCTGCGGTGTCCTTTAGTAGTAATTAAATCAGTGACCGCACCAGAGAAGGCAGCGTCCGGCCCCACCCGTCCAACGCCCTGGCAGAGCTGGAGGCTGGGGGGGCAGGGCCGGGCTAGCAGGGGCTGCGAGTCGGGAGTGAGGGGCACCGGCAGGGCTGGGGGGGGTCAGGGCTGAGCTAGCAGGGGGGCTCCAGGTTGTGAGTGAGGGGCAGCAGCAGGTCTGGGGGGGCAGGGCTATCGTGGGGGCACAACCCTCGCTCCAACAGGAATTCTGGGAAACAGGGGTCCCTCATGCCCTCAACCCCTCCCCCCAGGAAGCTTCTCCTCCAGGAAGCTCCGCCCCCAGGAGGCCCCGCCCCCAGGAGGCCCCCCCCCCCGCGCCGGGGCACCCACTTGTTGAAGAGGTTGAGGCCGATGCGGTACTGCCGCCGCTGCAGCAGGTCGTGGTTGAAGGCGGGCGAGTCCCAGCTGTGGCGGGTCTCCCGCTGGTACGTCTGCTTGCACAGGCCCGGGCCGGGGCCGGCGGGCGGGGGCGCCGGGGGGGGCGGGGGCGGGGGGCAGCGCAGGCTGTCCCGGGAGGAGGAGCCCGAGCTGCAGTTGATGGTCTCGTTGGAGTTGCTGCTGCTCTGTAGGCTGTCGTTGTCGCCGTCCGAGTGCTCGGGACCCAGGCGTCCGGGCGGCGGGGGCGGGGGCGGGGCGGGCTCGGGGCGGTAGTGGCGCAGGGGGTGGGGCGAGGG